AAGTACTTAGAAATTCGTAGTTTTTTTTTCAGCAATCACTTCTAATTATTATTAACAATTATTTTTCACTATGGAATAAGAAAATAAATTACCAATTTTATCCAATATTTTATTATAAAAAATATATTTGGATTAAAATTGAAATTTAAATGTGACAAAACGAAAAATGTCGTCTAAGAATTTGAATTATTAAAAATTAAAATTTAAAACAGTACTTTAACATTCCTTTGTGACCAAGAGGGAGGGAGGGAGAATGTACACACAAAGCATCTGCCATGAATTAATAGAATGCAATAATTGAATAAGGAGAATTATTAACGAGAATCTGTGGAATGGATCTTATTGTCTCGATTATTGGTTATATAAATAATTCAGAAGCATATATATATATAATATGAAACCACAATGAGAAAATTGGAAAATGATTAATAATATAGAAAGAAAAACCGCAAATATTGTCGTCACTTCCTCCAAGAATTATTTCTCATAGGAACAACTTGAAGGATATCATTTCCTAAGGAGTAGAAAGGGAGATGGGGTGAGATTACATACTTTGGAAGTCTGATGGTAGACCATATATATATATATGTATATATGGTTTGTCAAGTAAAGATCGATAGTTTGATGAACCAACTCCTGTTCAATCTCTCTGTGGAGAACACATCACATGCACAATTACCAACACAGGTGTACAATAATTATAATCAACGTATGTGTGTGTGTATGTGTTAGAGAATTACATGATTAACCGCATCGCCTCTCAATGATTGATTTATATTCTCCGCGTCACTTCACTAATCCAATTAACTACCTTCTAATCTTCGAATAATAATAATAATTAGACGAATATTATTTCACACAATTAACGCGGGGTAAATTGTCATTGACATATGCCTCCTCCTCCTTTATATAGGGAAAGTCAGACATATGTCAAAATCAATCAATAAATTTACCAAATAAAAAAAGAAAACAATTTCAATTAGTTTACCGGGAATTTTTTTTAACTATTAAAGTACTAGGTGATAAAAAGCCACATTTAGCGCCTTCTCGGTCTATCAGACTGGTGCGTTTATATTAATTAATATAATAAATACTGCTTATTTAAATTTAAAACAAGTAAAATAAATTTGGTATAGTAATTAATTAATTAATTATATCAATGCGTTATTAAAAATAAAAAGAACTAACGGATATTGATGATGGGTCCTAAACGGCTCCTTGGTCCAGATCCAGTGCTCCTTTTCTTTCTTGAGGCCCTAAAGCAACTTTAAAGGTGAATCTTAAGACCAGCAGATATATAGCTTATCTTCAGATTTACCATTAAAGAGGCAGCCAAGAAGTTTGTAAACCGCAAAACAAAACGTGCCGCAAACTTTTTGAAATTTATTTTATTAGTTAGAATAAGCACATATACTTTTTTTTAAACACTCATCAAAAAAAAGATGCATTAAAAAATGATTTTATACAATTTAAAATGAACGTCCTTTTTAAATTTACATTTTTCAATATTAAGATAAAATTTCAGGTAGAGAACAATTTTTAAATTAATTTATTAAAACAATTCTTTATATAAACCCAAATTAGTAAAATATATAATCACAATATTCAATATTGTGATCATATTCTACTATTTGGAAAATAAATAATTTTGCATTATCATAATTTTAATTTTAAAAACTTTCTTTTAAACTCATTTTGATTTTGGTTCTATTTTAATAAAATTAATTAGTTTTAAAAAATACTCAATGTTTAAATCAAAAAATTTTTTTTTATTAAAATTACCCTGAGTGTAAGTGCGTACTTATGCAGACTAAAAAAATAAATTGCGAAAAGAATGTGCGCAGTTAGGGATGCGTAACCCTCGTCTTATCCCACTAGCGGGTCAATGGCTACAATTACTTACAAAAATATGTAGCCATCAGTGTAAAGATCTACAAGGAAATATGAAACCGTGATGTTAAATGCGTGATTCACATTATATTTTCCAAATCAATCCAGTGATTAGTAGGTGAAAAATTATATGATCATTGCATGTAACAAATCATGGTTAAATATAATTGTCACAAGTAAAACTTTACAGATGAGATGAATCAACTTTTACATAAATTGGTTTTATTTATGAAAAATTATTCAACATTCAATAAGACGTTTTCGAAAGTCCCTGGCATAATGAATTCGACTTAGCCCTCCCACCCCCTCCTCTTCCCAATTTAAAATAAACTTTCTAATATTCGCGAAAAATGACGATCGCGATTTAAATTATAATTCGGACGCGCGCGTAACGAGTTGTCTTTGTATTTAAAACGAAAGACAAACAACGAAGACGATTTTTAAACACCCTAAGAAAATTTCATTCGCGATTATAAAATTATCGAATTAACACTCCCGAAGCTAATTTTTTAATCCGACACGACACGCACAGCGAGAATAAGAAAAAAAATATATTTTATAATTATATATATATATATATTAAACGACCGTCACTTTCATTAAGTTCGAACACTCCCGTAAAAATGCAAAAAATTTAATGAATTTAAAAAAAAATCCGCGCTGTTTACCTGAAACAAAAAAATAAATTCGATTAATAATTAAATTTTTAATTAGGTTAAATAATTCAAAAATTATTTTAAATAAATAAAAATATAGAAAATAAATTTTATATAATCTGTTTTATCGATGTAATCCAATCTGTTTCATCAGCAGTCGGTAAAACAGTTTTAAATTTATGTAAATTGAGAAATAAGTTTTACCAGTAGTTGGTATAATAGTTTTGTTAATGAAATTATTGCGTTCATAATAATCAGTCACCTCTACGTTATGAAAACTTGTTAATAGAGTTTCAAACAGTCAAAACTGTTTTATCAACAGTAGGTAAAACAATTTTTTTGAACCCAGCACTATTATCGATTTAATCTGGCTAATCTGTTTTATCAACAGTCGATAAAATAGTTTTGTTTAAGAATGTAAAAACTCGGTTAAACAGTTTTAAACAGTCAAAACTGTTTTATCAACAGTAGGTAAAACAGTTTTTTTTAACCTAGCACTATTATCGATTTAATCTGGCTAATCTGTTTTATCAACAGTCGATAAAATAGTTTTGTCTAAGAATGTAAAAACTCGGTAAAACAGTTTTAAACAGTCAAAACTGTTTTATCAACAGTAGATAAAACAGTTTTTTTTAACCCAACACTATTATCGATTTAATCTGTCTAATCTGTTTTATCAACAGTCGATAAAATAGTTTTGTCCAAGAATTAGCATCGATTTAATTTAATTTGTTTTATCAGCAGTTGGTAAAACAATTTTTATTAACAACATCTATTTAATCAGTCCTAATCTGTTTTTTATCAGCCGTAGGTAAAAAAGATTTTACTATTAAAAAATGTTTTTTCCTACTATATTGTTCCCAAATTTTCATTTCCATTTCAAAATATTTGAAAAGTCAAATAAGACGGAAAATCTCGTTTAGAGAAAGTGGAGGTAAAAAGAATTTTTCAGAACAGAGAAATTGGATTGTCAGTCTCTTAAATAGTAATCCAGCAAAAGCAAAAGAAAAAAAAAATAAAAGTCAAGAAAAGGGTTTGTATAAGTAAAAAGTGTTGAGAGAGAGAGACCATTAGCACTTAACTGACGGCGTTTTGTTTTGTTACGTGAGAAGCAAAAAGAGATGAAGTTATCCACAGTAGCAGCGGATAATCCAAGAGAAGCTAATATAACGAGAGAACCCCTTAACCTCCTGGGACTATAGTGAATCCCATATAGGGCAAACATGGCTTTAGAGCCGTTACCAACCTCTATAGAGGCAATTTGGTTCAAAATCTGCAGTTAACAACTGTATTCTAACAAATAGTCGAAATAATAATAATAATAATAATAATAATAATAATAATAATAATAATAATAATAATATAAAAATAAAAATGAATTTTAAATTTTTTGGTATAATAAACAAATTTTCGTGTCTTTAAATTCGCATTGTGTTTTTTCCCATTAAAAATTTTTTTGATTTGAATAATTTAATTTTTAATTTAAATTAATAATCTACTAAGTAGGTAGCAAAAGTAATCATTTTTGATCCTAGAGAGTAAAGTTATAATTTTCTGCCCTAGGGTATAAAGTAATCGTTTTCACCCTAGTGAGTAAAGTGACAGTTTTTTGTCCTGGGGTATAAAGAAATCTTTCTTGACCCGTAGGGAGTAAAGTGATTATTTTCTGCCGTAGGATATAAAGTAATCGTTTTTGACCCTAGAGAGTAAAGTAGCAGTTTTTCGCTCCAGGGTATATACTAATATTTTTGTACTCTAGGGAGTAAAGTGGTTATTTTCTGACCTATGGAACAAAGTAATCGTTTTAGACACTAGATAATAAAAGTGAGAGTTTTTTGCCCTAGTATAAAAAGTAACTATTTTCAACCCTAGAGAGTAAAATAACTATTTTTAACCAAAGAAAACCCAAAAAGTGGTCACTTTTAACAAAACAATGAAATTTTTCTACATTTAAATAAAAAATTTTTTAAATATATTAGAATTTTAATGGTTTTTAAATTAAAATTTTAATATTCTAAAATAAAATATTTAATTTTTAAAAAATTCAAAAAAAAATAATGTTATATTGTCATGTTACAAATACTAGCGTGTAAAGAAGCGTAAAAGAGTTAAACAGTGTTTTGTCGAGGAATAACAACACGGGTCATGAACCTGTAAGGCTTCCGTCTCTCTTCAAACAAAGTTTTGATGCTGTGTATTGAATTTAGGATAATTCGCGACCTAATAAGCCTGCGAGGACTAATCATGTTTACACGCGGGGAAATTCATTAACGTCTATTACATGTCACTGAACATTGTTTAAATATGAAATATTCTTCTAAAAAAAATTCAAATTTGTCTTTTTAAGCAAAATTGTTTTATTAAAAATACAAAAACAAATTTTAAACAAAAAAAAATTATTTTCATACTAAAAAAAAAAGTTTATAAAAAAAAAATATATTTTTCTTGTTACAGATATCGCTGGTGGTTATCTCTGTTTTTTTGTCAGCATAATTGGCATCGGAATAGTAACAGCAATTATTGGGGACATAGCATCTTATTTTGGATGCACCTTGGGTATTAAAGATTCAGTCACTGCCATTGTATTTGTGGCACTTGGTACCAGTATTCCTGGTAAGTTTAATTTTAAATATTTTATTTAAGGAAAAAAAAGTAATTTTTTTTTCCAAAAAATACACAAACATATATGTAATTAAAAAAAAATTTCCCCAGAAAAATTGAAAAAAAATTTTTCTAAGGATTGTAAATACTTTTTTAAAAAATATAAAAAGAGTCTTAGAAATTTTTTTTTTTTAAGTAAATTGAGATATTTGTCATTGACAAAAAAAATACCACCATCCATCAACTTTCACATTTTTATGCAAATATATATATATTTTTTTTAAATAAAGTAGAAAATTCTATTATAACGCTAAATCACGCTTTTCCATCTTTTACCCTGGGAATTTTTCACACGCGAATGCAAAATTACTATAATATTATCGAATAAATTTTTCTTTCATATTATTATTATACTTTTGGAAAATGGGAGAAAAAAATTTTCTTTTTTAAAATACCTTTTAAACTTTTAATCATAACAATTATTGGATATTTTTATTGAATTTCTCATTCCACAATGAAAATTCTATTCAATCATATAAACTTTTATTTTAATCGTTAGAATTTTACATAATCTTCTCATAAGTATTTTTTCCATTCTTTCAAAAGAGTATGTTAGAGAAAAATTGCATTCAAATTTTTCCATTTTCAAAAAAAATTTTTAAAAAATGGTTTCTTAAAATTTTTAAATTTTTTTTCTAAATCTTTTTTTTAATTTTCTGTTAGTTTTATAGTATTTGAATATACTATTTTTTACAATTACACTATTTTAAATTTTTGTATATTATTTTGAATTTTGAATTTATTTATTATTTTACATTCATTCTCTATGTTTAAAAAATATATTGCTTTCTAGAATTAAAAATCATTACTTTAGACCCTAGAAGTAAAAACGAATATTTTTCTCCCTAGGATACAAAATGGGGACCTTATTCCCAAGGTTCAAAAATTGTCACCTTAATTCCGTGTTAAAAAATTAGATTCTAAATGCAAAGAATAAATAATATAAAACAAAAACTATATTAATAATTTGAAGAAAATTAAAAAAAAACAAAAAATTAAAAAATTAGTAAAATTAATAAATGAAATAATCAATTATTTAGAAAATACACGAGACCTATATATCTATAACTCTTAATTGAACCGATAAATTTATGGTGCAAACCACCACCATTTTTCATGGACCATTGCAGTCGATATTATCGACGAAAATTCGTTTCACAAAATGTGGTAAACTTTATGGTCTGACATGAGTCTGACCCATATATATATAACTTTCATGAGAAAAATTTTTCGTGAAAGATGAAGAGCAAGTAGTACAAAAGCTCTTTTAGTCAGGCGCAGTAGATCAAGGTGAAAATAGCATCAGACAACATTCATTCTATATAACTATATTTTATACCCATGACTCCTACAAACAGTATATATTCACCGCAAACAAACCGTGAATGAACAACAAAAATATTATTTTTTCTTTTGAAATTTTCGTCTAAATTATGTTATAACGCAAACAAACTTCCTATTTTCCTCGTTGAAAAATATTTATGAAAACTGAATAAATAATAACAAATAAATAATAATTAATAAATAATAATTAATAAATAATAAAAAATAAATAGTAAAAAATAAATAATTTTAAAGTGCTAGACGCTAAAAAGTCACGTTTAGCGCCTTCCCGGTCTGCCAGACCGGGAAATAATAATCCCTATACACACGACTAGGACATTTTAGTTATATGTTATATACGTAACAATGCTGTTTATTTAACTTTTAAAGAAAACAAAAAATAACCAAAAGAAGTTCAACTAGGGTCTGAGAGACCGGTATAGTAGTTTAAAGGCCAATATTTAAATTTAAAAAAAAATCTCCTCTTACAATTATATATATAGTTTTAAATGGCAGAAACCATTTTTCTTTTCTAATTCTCTATCACTATTCTAAAATTTTCATTTTCTAACCTAAAACGAAAAATATAAAAATTCGTGAAACCAGCTCTCATTCATCTTTTCCCTTTCCTTCTCTCTCACTCACTGAAAAAAAGTCTTGATCTTTACCTTTACGAGAATCATATAATATGTACGAGCGTAAAAAGATCGTCCAATGTCCTCTTCATGAATCAGAAAATAGGGGTTCTACCATGGAGTACTATATATATATTTTACTCCCTTGGGCTCCATTGTTTCGTCGCACAAAGCCTGCATAATGAATTATCACTATACCCCTCTGGTTCACCTATACATACACGTACATAACCTATTATATTTACACACATACACACACACGAACACATGGACACAATTATTCAGAGATTATCCCGTTTACGCGCCATTTAAAAAAGACCACAACAACCATTCGAGTTTCACAACATAATCTTCACACCACCTTCGAGAGTTAATTAACCTTCTAATTGAAATATTCTTTAGAAAAAAAAGGGCGAATATAAAATATAAAAAGTGAACCGCACTAAAAATAAAAAATATTCAGTATTTATAAATATGAAAATCGTAAAAAAATGGCGAAAAAAAAATTAAACGGTTTAAAAGAGAAAAAAATATTTTGAAACGTAATTATTTTGACCGCTTGTGAGAGAAGTCGAATCAGAAACATAGCGACATTTTTTTAAAAAATATTTTCACAAAATGAATTATTTCCTAACAAAAAAATAGTATTTTGAATGAAATTAATATTACCGCTTGTGAGAGAAGTCGAATCAGGACCGTAGCGTGATTATTAAAGAACAACTACCTTATTTTTTTTCAAAATATTGAATTTTCTATTTTTTTTCTAAATTTTTGTCTCGATTTCCACATTTTGAAAACAATTAACTAATTCCTAAAAAACAGTTTGGGAAAGTAATTATTTTTACCACTTGTGAGAGAAATCGATTCTTTAATTTATTAAAAATACTGTGAAATTTCTCCAATTTTTTTATTTAGTCTCTCTCTCTCTCTCTCTCTCTCTCTCTCTCTCTCTCTCTCTCTCTCTCTCTCTCTCTCTCTCACACACACACACACATTCGCAGTGATTTTTCAATTAATTTATTAAATTTTATAAACACCCCCCAGAAGTGAAACAATAATTTTTCATTTATTTTTAAATTGAATTAATTGGGCAAATAAATTTTTGCTTGATTAAACATTTCACCGCGGGTGCTAACAAGTATTTTGATGAAACATTTTACTCTGCGCTAATTAATGTTTCGTTATAATAAAAGAATAAAAATAAAAAAAAAGAACAGTATCAATCAATATCGAACAAATTATTAATTATAATTGCTGAATAATTTCTTTTTTGTATAAATAAAAAAAAATAATTAAAATAATATTAGAAAATGATTCGAAGAATAAAAAAAGTAAAGTTTACTTTTTACATGTAGTATCAAAATTTTAATTACGAAATGAAATTAAATTAGTGATACCACGTTATAAATTTTAAAATATTCAAAATTTATTTTATATTTTTCAAAAAATAATCCCTAGGATATTAATAAACATTTAAAAATAATTACAAATAGAATTTTTTTTCTTCTAAAACAATTTAATTTTTTTGAAAAAAAAAAAAATTTTGTTCATTAAAACTTTTGGTTTCCATTTCTCATGACTTTGTCTCGCTTTGCGCGCACTATTGAAAAAAAAATTCTTACACACAAAAAAAAAGAAAAGAAAAATTAGAAGAAAGATAAAAAAGATTCGTGAAATTTTATTCACAGAAAAAAATGTAGGTCGAGCTCAATTCGCGTTTATTTTTGTCATATCCTCTGTTATCAAAAAATAAAACCAACTGTCGTCGTCAAACTTTATAACCGTTTTCATAAATCATTTTTAGATCAAGGATTCTGATGACATTTAAAAAAAAATGTCTTCCTCATTTTTTTTTTGTCCTGCAATCGTTCACAGTACATTTTCCAAATGTCATTAATAACATACCTAAAATGAGAAACGCTGACAATATAAATTTTCCCCCCAAAAAAAAAAAATATCTGACAATGCAATTTTTTTTCGAAAATTATTTTTTTATACATTAAATTTCATTAATATTATAAAAAGCAAAATAAAATACTGAAACTCAAAGAAATAGAAAAATAAAAGAAAAATAAATTTTAAAAATACTGAAAAAAAATATTTCTCAATTTAGAATGAAATTTTAAACCCGAAAGTTATAATTAAAAATTTGTTATATAATAAACAAGAGATTGCGGATCATTTTCAAAAATAAAATAAATAACATGAAAAGTTTTAATGCAACTTAATATGACTTTAAAAACTTTTTAAAAGCCACTAGATGGCACTTTGTACTTTTTAAATGATCGTTATGGACTCTCAAGCCAGACGAAAAAGTTTCAAAACGACAAAAGGATGCCTGATGAACAACGAGAGGAAGTTTCGCAAAACTTTTCCTCTCATTTTCTCATCTGGTCTTTTAGAAAATCGGACAAAGACTGGCAAATAGACAAAAAAAAAGAAGGAGAAGAAGAATAAGAAGAATCCTCTAAGAATAGAAAGCAAATTTATATATAATTTTACATTAAAAAAAAAAAAAAACAAAAACTAAGAACAAAATCTACCTTTTTTCTGTACTAACACAATTTTTTAGTTATTTCAAAATTTGTTTGATACAAATAAATATTAATTCAATCTAAATAAATATTTGATTTATTTTTTGTACTATTTTGATTATTTGAAAATCGAAATTTGATAGAAATAAATATTTATTTGATCTAAATAAACATTTCATGTATTTTTTGTACTAACACAATTTTTTCATTATGTCAGAAACAAAATTTGTTTGATAAAAAAAAAAAATATTTATTTGATCTAAATAAAAATTTCAGTTAATTTAAAAAAAAAATTTTTAAGCAAAAATTTAATTGAGCCAAATAAATTTTTATTGACTTAAACAAAAAGTTTAATTCACTGTAAATACAATAAATTTGATTAATTTAACCAAAAATTTGTTTTCAAATGAACAATTGAACATTTTTATAAAACAAATTTTATTAATAACGTATATATATACAAAACAAAATATATATCGCGCTCACCGAGTTCAACTTTTAATCGTTATTCCCAGTGCAAAACTGCTTTTATATAACTTTAGCGCGAATGTTTCTCTGAATAAATTACAAGACTTTGTGGTTTAAAATTAAACCAGATAATTGGCAATTGTTTTAGACAATAGTATGAAAACAATGTACGCCATCAGAGAGAGAGAGAGAGAGTCGACTTTGTATTTTAGTTTTTGAAAAAGAAAATTGAAATGAAATTGCCGTCAATTTATAAACTTGGCTATTAACATTTTCTCACGCTTCAATACATATAATATTATTATTTTACAATTGAATTAAATATAAATTTAAATAATTTATTCTCTATTTATTTTCTATTATTGTGAAATAAATTATTTTAAATTTTAAACAATGAAAAAAAATATAAATAAAAAAATAATATAAATTTATTATATTATAATTATAAATTATAATTATAAATAATTATAAATAATTATAAATAATTATAAATAATATAGAAAGCAATTTTAAAAAAATGGAGAATTATTTTTGCGCCTATATAATTGCAGTAATTTTAACATTAAAGCTAAACAAAATTATCATTCTAAAGGGGTAAGCCCCTGTTTAATGACTTTCCGCTTACTACACTGTATAATCAGTCACAGGAAGTCAAGAAAATTTTTCTTTCTGAGAATTTTATTTTTATTCCTATTATGTATAGTAAAAAAAAATAGTATAAATATAGTAAAAATAAAGGAAAATTTAGTGAAAAATGAGAGAAAAGATAATGTTTAGGATTTATGTAAAAAAAAAGAAAAAAAAACCTTCTTGCAACCCTTTTTACGATATGTGACTCTACTCGCGTAGAATGACTGATAAGAAAATCCCGGAGTTGGCAGACGTGATAGAAAATGGGACGAGGGTCATGAGAAAAAGAGAGAGAGGGGGGGGGGGGAAGCGAAGGGGGTGAGGGATGAGGGTATCAAAATATCTACATGGCACTGAACTAGGAAAGTGCCACTTGGTGGCTTCTATATTACCCTACACATTTACCTGCGTGATGTAAATATTTGAGAGAATTAAAGTGAATTCACGTGTGTGTGTATATATATAACCTAGACGTGAATCGTTTAAACTAAATTATTTTAGCATCCAAATATAACCAGGCAACAACTCTTCTTCCCCCATTTTAATAATATACTTAACTAAATATTTATATTTCTCTAATATACGCCTTTATTTAATTTTTAATTTGTTTTTTAATATTATTAAAATAAATAATTATTTTTTAAATAATAATTAAATTATTTTCATAAATTAATTATATTATATTAAAAATAATTAAATAAATTAGCCATTAATTTATAATTAATTTCTTATTTACAATTTAATTACAAAAGTATTTTGTTTTTAAAATAATTATCACTTATCAAAGTAAAATAGATTTCAATTTAAAAAAAAAAAAAAAAAAAAAAAAAAAAAAAAAAAAAACGCCTGTTGTATGACAACCCGCCTTGCTTTAAAGCGGATACATTAGAGGGAAAGAAGTGGGGGAGAGTCCTGTAAAAGGACTATTATAGCACTAGTGATGAAAGGACGGTTGCCATCAAACAGGCGAGTGTTTTTAAAAATAGAAAAATTGTTATACTTCTCGTGTATAACAGATTGCTATCGCAAAAGGGGCAAATTTCTCTATCTCTCTCTTTCTCTCTCTCTAAAGTTCAACAACTTCAGTGTTGCTTATTATTTTGAAGCATCAACAATGACGCAAGCCGAAGAATAATGCCACTTTTAAGGGGTGAAGGGGGAGAGAAAAACTGCCGTGTAAGACAGATTGCAATCAAACAGGAGCCGAAAATCGATTTTTTTTCCTTCAATGTTTGCAAATTACGCTTTGAGACATTTTTTTATTTATTTATATAAAAAAATTAATAATTTACCAAATAATAAATTTATTATCACTAGATTTTAATTGAAAAAAAACAAAAAAAAATGAATATTTGGTAAAAAAAAAAATTTCTAATGTGAACATAACAATATTTTCCAAAGACACTTTTAAATACAAATGTTGAGCGGAAAGCTCTTTTACAAGGGGCCAAGTACCTCTGGTTTTTTTTTAATGACTATATCTATACAACGATGTGTTTCCGGTTGCGTCGTGTGCCCCTCCCACCAAAAAAAGGACTTGCAAATGCATTAAAATTTAATCTTCCTATTCTTATATATACATTCGTGTGATGTGTATTGTAGAAAATCTGTACAGCAATATAATGCAAATGTAATTAGAAAATTCAATTTCAGTATAGGACAAGCTTTAATTCTTCCCTTACACCTCACCAACCCCCCCCCCTCCTCCTCCTCCTTTCCAAGAGCTTCCTTTTCATTACTCGAAATCTGAACATGTACTTAATGAAATTCCTAGGACTCAACATATATAACGAACAAATCGTGAAATTCTTGGTTGTAACGGTAAATCAGGATTGCTTGTGTGACTCTTGGATAACTTCACCGAAATGGTGAATGAGAGAGAAAGTCAAGCGAAAACCCTGGGAAACTTGTATCATAGGGCGTAGGCAACCCGTTATACTTGTGCGCAGACGCAATTTCTTGATTTTCGTTTTTTATAAATCACCTTAAAAACAAAAAAACACTAATTATTTTCTTTTTCTTTAATTTAAAATATTCTATTTTTTTTGAAAATTATTGAATTATAAATTTAATTAAAAGACGGTAAAAATGTTTCAAATTAGTAATTTTTTGTGAAAATTTTATTAACAAAAATTATTATTATTATTATTATTAAGTTTATAGAGAAATAGAAAAATTTTCTTTAATCGAAAAAAAATTCATTTTATTTTTACAATTTACAAAAAAATTTACACTTATCGACCACAAAAAAAGTAGATTCAAAAAAGAAAAAAAAACAAATGTACGATTTATATTTTCGATTATTGCAAACTGAAAATTAAAAAAAAAAACTACTCTCTATTTTTGCACTGGGAAGAAAATCAGAAATCTAGAAAAGTTTGAATTTTCTTCTATCTCGGAAACTTGGTTTCTTATTTCTTTTATCTTTATTGTAACTTTTTTTGTACGAAACAGATAAGAAACATCCAAAAAGTCATTTTACCATTCCGTTCGAGAAGTTGAAAACTATGTTTTTCTAATGTTATATTTTTTTTAGAAACACACATATTGGTAAACAAATTTAAAAAAAAAAATTAAAAATAAATTTCAATAAAATAAATATCTAAATATTAAATAAATATTTAAAATTTTTTTAAAATCAATATTCCTGACTTTTAATTTTTCTGTTGGTTTAAAAACTAGATTTTTTAATTTTGGAAATTTAATTCATTAAAATATCGATAAGATGTGAGTTTTTCAAAATTCAAAATGGCGGATTCAATATGGCGGAGGATTTTTTGAAAAATTGAACGAATTCGCTTGAATCTAACTACTCGGGGATTTTCGGGATCGCTGATTACGAATCTAACGTTAGATTTTTAAAAAATTTAAAATGGCGGATTTAATATGGCGGACGATTTTTTAAAACTTCATCAGATTTACTTGAAACTTGTAACTCGGGGGTTTCCGGGGTCGCTGATAACGAATTTGATGTCAGTTTTTCAAAATTCAAAATAGCGGATTTAATATGGCACAAGATTTTTTTAAAATTTATCAAAATCGTTACTCAGGGGTTTTCGGGGTCATTGATTACGAATCTAGTATTAGATTTCAAAAATTCAAAATGGCGGGTTCAATATGACGGCCGATTTTTTAAAAATTCATCAGATTCACTTGAAACTTGTAACTCGGGGGTTTTCGGGGTCGCTGATTACGAATCAAATGTCAGTTTTTCAAAATTTAAAATGGCGGACCCAATATGGCGGAGGATTTTAAAAAAATTGATCAAATTCCCTTGAAATTGACTACTCGGGGGGATTTTTGGGAACACTAATAACGAATTCGATGTCAGTTTTTCAAAATTCAAAATAGCGGAAGTTTTTTTTTTTTAAATTGATCAAATTTCTTTGAAACTAACCACTCGGGGGTTTTCGAGGTCGCTGATTACGAATTTTACATTAGATTTTAAAAATTCAAAATCCCAGATTCAATACTGCGAAATTTTTTTCAAAATTCATCAAATTTGTGGTAAAATTTTTTTTACTTGGGAACTTATTGGCGATCGCTAATTATAAATTTAATAACTGATTCGTAATTATAGAGATCCTTATAAATATCTTTTTTAATTTTGAAAAATTTTTTTATAAAAAAAAAAAAAAAAAAAAAAAAAAAAAAATACAAAAAAATTTTTGAAGAATTGCCATATTACAAGAGAGATGAAATGTAGCCGACTTCTTTTTTTTTTTTTTAATTTCAGACACGTTTGCGAGCAAAGCGGCTGCTTGCCAGGACAAGTATGCGGACGCAAGTGTCGGCAACGTGACCGGAAGTAACGCTGTGAACGTCTTCCTGGGAATTGGCGTCGCATGGAGCATAGCTGCTATTTACCATGCCTATCACGGAAAACAATTCCAGGTCAAAACCGGAAAGTAAGTTAATTTTTCTATTTCTTTAATTTTCAAATTTTTAAATAATTAAATAGTAATTAAAAAAAAAAATTTTTTAATGTAAAATTTTTAAAAATTTTAATATATTGCAAATAAAAACAGAATATTGAATTGAAATGTAAGAGGAAAAAAAAAAATCTTTTTAACTAAATGAAGAAAATACATCTGATAACAAGTTAACCTCTTCAGTGATATGAAAAGTCTCCCTCTTTTTTCTCTCTCACTCTTTCTCTCTCAATATTCCGTTCCTCTAAGTCCATTAAGGGTGAAGTTGGAAAAACTTGTCTTGAGGGGTAGTTTTCACATAAAAGGGTCCATTTATAAGGGGTTCGAATGTGTCATAAATTTTTTATAACTCATCATAACGTCCCAACAACTATTTTCATCTGTATCAAAAAGAAAAAAAAATTTCCCCATATTTTCCCCACAAAAGTGAAACATCTCGATAAAATACTTATATATCTCTTATCGGAACAATTTCACCTATTCATTTTACTTATATAGGATAGAAATTTATTTTATTACAAAAGATAAAAGAAATATTTAAAATATAAATAAAAATATATTTAAAAATAAAATTAGAATATTTAAAATAAAAATACGCAAAATAAAGTAAAATATATCTAAAATATAAAATAAAATATTTAAAATTAAATAATGCCGAAGTCCGCAACGTGTTTTTATAAACGAAAAATTAATTAGACAGTATCTAGTACTTTGGGTTAAAATTAAAGTTATTCGGGGGTAACTGGTTTTTATAAAAGAATATTAATTTCTTGAAAGTTTGTGCAAATCAAAATTAGTGATAAATTGACATGAAAAAATAATTTTAGTTTAATTTTTCGTTTTTGTAAATGTTGCGGACTTCAGCATCATAAAATTAAAAATATTTGAAATAAAAATAGGAAATTAAAAAATTTTTAACTTTATTAATTAAAATTTTTTTAATTTCTTATATTTTTTATTTATTTGTATATTTTATATTATAAATATTATTTTTGTAAATAAGTGAAAATATAGAGATACGAAATATATTTTTTTTTAATAACTAAAAATATATATGTTGAGGTAATTTAATTTTTTTCTTCTCTACAGAAGCAATAAAAATGCCAATTTGTAAGCTTTGAGGATAAAGTCAATGCGACTAGGTTGAATACAAAATGCTAGAAACGATTTTTTTTTCTTTTTTTTTTTTTAGATAAAAACTTGAACAATATTATAGAATAGAGAGGGGGGTTTTGGGGTGGTGGTGGTGGATAAAGAGTAGTCACAGAAGAAAATAATCCAATAATCTTACTTTTCTATCTTCTTTTAAGAGTATATATATATATACATATACTTTGATATATTTTCGATACAGATAAAAATCGATTTTAAATCCATTTTAACAATCTTTTCTATATAAAAGTGAACTTTTTTTTTTACTAAAGATATAAAAGAACAAAAGTCTCTACTAAAATTTTATTCCACAGAAAATAATATCAAGTAAAAGTATACACAGATATTGCACATTATATAATTTTTTAAATATATTAAAAAATAATATATATAATAATTATTATATTAATATCGTAAACAAAATCTTTATCTAGAACAGCGATATGTTTCTCTAGAATAGCGAAATTCAAATATCGCTGTTCCAGTAAAAATTATCGCTGTTCCAGATGAAGATTTTTTTCCGTATAATATTAAAAAATATTTTTTTCGCCATTGACATGAAAAAGTGTCTTTTTTGTGCCTGTTTTGGGCAGATAAAGTAGCACTTTTTAAGGCAGTTGTTAATTTGCCACATAATATACTATTTAAAATCATAATAAATTTAATAATGCAAAAATAATTTCTTTTATTATTTATTTAAAAAAAAAAAATTTATGAGTATTCTTTTGAAAGAAAATAGAAATTAAAAGCGACTTTCTTTGTATTCGAATAAAAGAGAGAATTGGCTCCCTATGTACATAAAATAAACTATCAATATCGAAGATAGAGAAGAAGAAAAAAAAAGTGCATGCTACTATATATTATATATAAAAGCAAAGGCAGAAGCAGTAAAAAAAAAGAGGACATTTTTTCCCCTCCTAGTGTATCAAACACTAGTTTAAATTTACGATCCATTAATGTCGACAATCCCCTTTTGCAATATTACGAAATAAGACTTGACTTTTTTTTTTTTTTCCCTAATTTGCCCCATCATTAGTATACTATTCACGATCCATTAATGTCTCGGCAACCCGCCATACATCAAAGTCGAGAGAAAAGCCCTTAAACAGAAACACTGCACCTGTAACACACACGACTTTTTTTTTTCTTCTTCTCTACTCGCGTATGTATGTACGTATGTACGTATATCGTTTGTCGTTTTCGCCATAAGTTTTCTCTTTAATATTACCGAGACCATATGCAACCGGTTATACACGGAATTTAAAAAAAAAATTTTTTTTAATAATAGTCTATTTGTAAAGAATTATTTTTTTATTTCAAAAAAATATATTATTTATATTTTTAGTTAATAAAATAATATACTAATTTGGAGGTTATGTTTTTAAACATTTTTTTGTATTAAAGCATTTTAAATAAGAGCGCCCTTTTCTACCAATGAGAGAGTTATAGTAGCGCAAGCGCAGTTACGCATCGGCATTCGGCCGGTCGCGCAAAAAACGAAACTTAAAAATATTCTATCTCTTTTAAACTTTTTTCAAATCGATTCGAAACTTTGGAAGAACATTCCTGAGATTAACTTTCATAAAAAAATCAATTTTTCAAAAAATCCACTATTATAATTTTAAAAAATTTAATAAAAAAAAATAATTATTCTCTGTTACAGTTTGGCCTTTTCTGTGACATTATTCTGTACGGAAGCCTGTCTAGTGATAGTGGTTCTAATGTTGAGAAGAACGAAAGCCATCGGTGGTGAATTGGGTGGACCAATGTTACCGAAAATTATCACTTCCATGTTTTTGTTTTCCTTATGGCTATTCTACCTCGTGATGTCTACACTCGAGGCCTATGGAGTAATCAAGGGCTTCTGAAATGCCGCAATTTTTATTTTTAATTTCCAATTAAATAATAATAATTATAATAATAATTATATAAATAATAATAATAATCTTATGGCCTATCACCACCGATGTCAACAAACGCATAAAATTTATTCTTTGTGCTCAATAAATTATCCTCTCCGTAAGTATATTTAATTTACATTTATTAAAAATTTTAATTTTCTATAAAACATTTTTTGGTTTTCGATAAAAAAAAAAATACGCAGACGAAAATTTTTTTTTTTTTTTTGAGTCGAAAATAAATTGCTTATGTCTCGCTCTCCTTCGATTTATTTTCAGCCAAAGTGTATACAACTTTTGGAATTAGTTAAACTTTCTTTTCAAAAGAGATGGTACTTGGAAAAACTTTGTTCGGGAATTGCGCCAAAAAAAATGAAAAAGAACGGCAATATTTTAAAAGTTGATTTACGTGCAAATTTTTTTTTTCCAAGATTTCATTATGACATGCAAATTATTTTCGCGAATAAAAAAAAGAAGTCAATTTTCGAAATATTATTTTTATGAATATTTATAATTTTTCAATTTCCTCTTTTTTTAAAAATATTTTTATGTTCTCGCGATTAATTAAATTTTTTTATGTATTAAACTATTTTTCGTATTTTTTTTTACGGATTTATAAACGAAATGAATTTTTAATATTCATTTAAATAATAAATATTTCTTGTTTTTGCAAGTATTTTTAATTTTTTTTTTTTAATTACGAAATATTTGTTAAAATTTTTTTTTAAAAAAAAGGAAAATTGTACAATAAGTTTGAATTAGGAAAATAATTTCAAAAAAAACTTAATCATATACTGATGTATGAGCGCCAGCACTGAACAATAGTGAGATAATTAAACAATGTGAACCACAAACCAATAGACGATACACAATAGTCGCTATTAATTTTCATCGGATGCAAAGTAAATCAATACGTTCATTTTCATTTAATTAAAACTCTTAGGAAATCATAAATTTTTCATTTTTTTTTTATAGAAATCACTATTTAAATTAAAACATAATAGTGAATAATAATAATAATAATAATAATAATAATAGTATAAAAATAAAAAAAATTAATAAATAAAATTATATTAATAATTTATTATTATTATTATGTTTATTGTCTTCTCTAATAATTATTATATTTTTATTACTATTTAATTTGTCAAATGCAATATTAAAATAATTTGCCAAAAAATAAATTTTTTTTAATAAATTTCTAAAAAAAATATTGTCGACTACGTAATTATTAGGCGCGAGGGGAATGTAAAAAAAAATTTTAAATGAAGAATGTAAAAAAAAAAAAATGGTGAGATTAAAAATTATTATAGACGAGAAAAAACATTATCTACTACTTTAAATTTTCCTGCCCGTAGGCAATCCACTTTCTTCGCGTGTACAACGGGTTGCTCGTTAAGGGGGTCAACCGCAAAACTCAACTAATCTCATCAAGAGCCTCCATCTCTCTCTCTCTCACTCTCTTAAATTTAATTCAAGTAGTAGTTCATAATTTAAAAAAAAGAGTCGAGATTTCTTTATTATTAGGTAAACTTGCACACCGTTAAAAAAAATTATTAAAAAAAAAAATTGCTGGATTGCTCACTTCTACCGTGATAACAAAAAAAAAAAGTTCCAAATTTCATTACGAAAAAAGTGTCAATTTTCCCGCGGCAAATTGTACTATTAAAAAATGTTTCAACTAACTTACTGAGTACTTTAAAAAAAAAATTTACTCTCAATATTTCACTTCCTACATCTACTTTTTTTATTTACTTATAATTTTTTTTTATTTTTATTTCTTTTGGTTTAATTTTAAAAATTTTTAATAACAGAGGGAAATTTTTATTATCTAATTAATTTTTTAATTAAATTAATTTTTTATCGAATTTTATTTGCCCTTTCCCTCCCAATTCCCAAAAAAAAAAACTTGTAACTAATAAATTAAAATTTTTAAATAATAAAATTAAAATAATTTTCAATTAATAAAATTGGTTAAAAATATTATAATTTTATAAATAATTAATTATTTTTCAGAAGACAGAATGGTGCATGGAATTGACAAGAGTGAAAATAATCATCAGTTACAGCATCTGCGAATCATCGAATTTATTTAAACAAAACAAAAAAAAAAAAAAAGAGAGAGAGTGAAAAAAAAACGATAAAGTGTGACTTTCAGCGGCGATCTTAGGATTTCAATTTAAATAAAAAAATAAAAATAAACCGAAACTTCAAGACGAAAATTTTACAAATTTTTAAGTAATAAATTTTCGTCTTAAAGTTATTATAAATGAAAGAAATCTTTATTAGAAAATAAATTATACGAGTTTAAGTAAAGCAAAAAGAAAAAAAGGAAAAAAAAAAGTGGGAATATTAAAAAAAGTATTAGACGATAATAGTTATTTTTTGCACATTCAGTTTAGGTATATAAAATGAAATACATTTGACAGCGTCGTCAAGTTTCGTTTAAAAAACGAATTTAGATAATAAGTTTTCATGAATCGTGAAAAGAATAGTGTGTAATAATTAATAATTTTTATGTTAATTAGAAAAAAAAAAAAACTGAATGGAATTTATGGGGAGAATTTTTTTTTTCTTTTTTTTTTGAAGGGGGGGTTAATTTAATCTTCCTCGAAACGACCATTGATCGAAAGTATTAACATTTTTCACTATCACTGCCTTCGATCATTGGACGATTGCCTGAAATAATATTTTTTTTTCTTTTTAATATTTGAATTTATAATTTAAATTTACAATCTTTTTTTTAATATTGTTCTAGTTAATAGTAAATAATTATTAAATTTCCAAAAAAAAAAAACCCATAGAAAAAAATAAAGGCCGAATTGCAAGACTCTGGCTAATTTTTATTAACGAGGGTTTAATATACAAAAATATAATTTAATTAAAACAATTTATAAAAAAAAATACGTAATTAGCGAATACTCATTACTGAATTTACGAAGCTTTATATAAAGATCGTTTTTTTTTTTAAATTGTAAACTAATTATTTAAATATTTATTTTAATTTATTGTTATTGTTATTATTTATCATGTAATATATTAATTATTCTATTAAATAATCAAATTTATTTTTTAACTATTGCCCGTTTTTTTTTATTAATAATATAACCAGTTAAAATTAACAAACAAACAAACAAAAAAGTTTTCATTTTTGTTACTGAATTTATTTATAATTATTACTATGAATCGTGACCCAAAACTTAATCAAATTTTTCCATTAAATTTGATTTACATACGAAGAACAAATTTGTTCAATTTTCATTTAATTTAATAAATTTAAATCAAATTTCATTTTGCGATAAATTGCTTTTTGTTTAATTAATTTATGTTTTCACTAACCAGGACAATTTTTCATAAAAATTAATGAAAAAAAATATTTTTAATGTAAAAATTATTAATTTATTTAAATGAATAAAAAAAATTGAGCGAAGAACAAATTAGATTTTTTAGATTATAGAGAGAGGATTTTTTTTTTTAACTAGCATATTTTGATGCAAGAATAGAAAAAAAAATGAATAGAAATATATCTCTACTACTAAATATTGTTAAATTAAATGATTTTGTAAATTTCTAACTCTGTCTCTTGTTCCTGGTTGTATTTTTTATATACACCAAGAAGTGTAAAAAATTTCCAATAAAATATAATAGTTATTTTGATAACAATGAATCAAGTAAAAAAAAAAAAAAAATCTATGTATTGTACTTAAATAAATAGCATTATGCTATTGACAAACTCTACAACAAAGCGTCGAAGTGATAAACCGTAAAAAAGAAAACAAAAATCGCGCTATTCGTTCATCAAATCTGATAGTTACGAATCATTAGTATTATCGCATTTAATTAAACGTCTTGATAATCTAAATTAAAAAAAATATTTTAATTTATGTAATTTTTTTTTTTTAATTTTATTTTTAATTTTATTTCTATTTTATTTCTATTTTATTTTCTATTTTAATTTAATTTTATTTTTTATCATATTATGTAAAATAAATAAATTTAAAAAAGTATTAAATTTTCAATTTTAATTAATACCTACATTAGAAATAAAATTGAAATCTTTAATTATTATTTTTTTATTAAACTAATTTTTTTAATTCAATTAAATTAATTATAATCAATGATTCCTTGTCTATTATTTTTGTTTAAAAATTTTAAAAAAAATTATCTTTTTATTTAGGTTATCAAGACACTTAATTGGAAAAATTCCATTTGCAATTACTTTTGAAAAAAAAACTAGTGTGCCCTAAAAAATAATAAAATGACATTTTTTTTTCTTTCATAGGCGAAAAAAAAAATGATAATTTTATTATCTCTCGGGCTTTGAAAGACTTATATAGCTTCAATATTAGAAATCAATTTTTTAGTTCTATGCAATTTTTTTTTATGATCAAATAACATTTTCTCGTATTAGAATTAATTTTTTTTCTCTTATTTTTTTTTTTTAATAATAAAAAATCGTAACCAGATTTTGGAAAAAAAATTTCATTTTAGAAAATCAATTTTTTTCAAATAAATTTTATTTAAAAAAAAAAAAATTATAAATTAAAAACTTGGATTACATTTTTAATTGAAAGTACCTTACAATTATTTAAAAATAATTCTTATTTTAAAGTAACGAGAAATTTGTTTTTTTATCAAAAGAAAAATTGCACAGAATCATTAAAGCATGCAATGAGGCTTTACAATAAATTTTCAAAAAAAAAAAAAAAATCATTAAAATTGATTCTACGAGAAATTTCACTTCTCAAAATCTAGAAAAGAAGAAAAAATTTGACTAATTCTTTAACCACTATTTCGTGGCTGGCCCAACTTTAAACTTTAATAATAAACTATAGTAAAATGTTTCTATATATATATTATAGTCCAGTCAAATTAATTATTAATTAATTTAATTATTAAGTATTTAATTAATAAATATTAATTAGTTTAATTATTGAGTATTTTATGAATAATTTTTTAATTATGAAGTAGTTAATTAATCAGTAATTAATTATTAAGTAGTTAATTAATAATTATTTAATTATTAAGTATTCAATTAATAATTATTTAATTATTAAGTAGTTAATTAATAATTATGTAATTAATAATTATTTAACTATTAATTAGTTAATTATTTAGGCTTTTTAAAGAAAATTTGACTGGACGAATAGTCATTCTACAATATGGACCAATAATGCTGCACCTAATGCAGATTGCGAACTTTCTACTAATTTTAAAAACAATTTAAAAGTTCGATTCGAGTTTTCTTGTTCGATAATTAAATAATTATTATCTTTATAGAATTAAAATAAAATACAATTGCGATTTGCTTTCACAACGTTTAGGAAAAGCAATAATTATTGTTAAAAAAAACAATAAATAAATAAAAAATTTAAAAAAAAAATTAATTGCAAAAATTGCGTAAAATTTTCATTACGAAGAAAAAATTAAATTACTTAATTTAGTAAAAAAAAATTAATTTGTATATAAATAAGATAGATAAATTATTTACATTAAATTTTCTCAAATTTCAATAATTGCAATTTAAGCAATTTCCATTTTTCAATCGTTGACATTTAAACATTGAAATTTAAACCAAAAAAATAATTGAATTTAAAGAATTAAATTTAAACAAATAAATTTCCAAAATTAAATTTAAACAATTAAATTTTAAATAAATTAAAAATTTAAGCAATCCAATTTCCGATACTATTAAACATCAATTTCAAATAATGAAAATCATAAACAATTAATATTTCAAATAATAATTAAATTCTAAAAAATTCAATTTTCAAATAAAAAAATATTAAAAATTAACGTCTCATTAATTATTTAATTTCTATCAATGATATAAAAGATAAAAATTAAAATTTCACTAATTATCTGACCAAGGCTTTTGATAGCATAGAAAAAAAAAGGTCTGGAACTGATTCTGCATATTTTTTTTTGAAACATTGAATAAAAACTCGAACTATTGAAATTAGAGGAAACTAGTTTATATGATAATTAGTTCTTTTTTATTTAGAAAAAAAATACGAGTGTACGATTAAGTTCCTCAACCAAAATTGCTTAGAGTGCGAGAAAATTTGAGCAATTTCTCTTTAGAGTTTGAAAATTTAAATTTCAAGAACGCTCGAGAGCTTTTAGATTGCTTAAAGTCTAAGGAAGAAGCATTTACATAAATTCCACTTGAGTGCAAGGCCTTTCCAATGAGAGGATTTTTAATTTTTTTTTCTTCCTCTTCTTCGCATTACTCTCGCGAATTATCCAACATTAATTCTTTACGATCACATTAATTACAATTTTTAATTAACCCTTTCATGAAAACTATATATATATATACAATTTTTAAAAATGCAAAAGTAGTAAAATCAGAATTAAAAATTTAAAAAAAAATAGAAAATCAGAATTTAATAATATTATATACAATCTAGTGGATTATAAAGAAAATTTACTAAATATTATACTAATTAATTACTTTTCTAACAAATTAATATAAATTATTTCATCCTATTTAAATTAATTTGAAATTTACATTAAAATTCCGTAAAAAAACCAAAAGAAACATCAATTTGCAAAAAAAAAAATGACTGATTTTTTGAAATTATTTTTAAATAAACTGACCAATGGTAGAAAAATTGAAAATTGGACCAAATTATTTCTTTACACTAGCAATTTTCTAATTAAATTAATAATTAAAAATTTCTAAAATTAAATGAAAAATTAAATATACATATTTGAAATTAAATGAAAATTTAATTTTTAAAAACAAACAAAAAAACTTATCGAGTTAAATTAAAAAAAAAAAAAAAATTCTAATAAAATTAGAAATTGTAATGAAATTCGAAAAAAAAATTCAAGGAAAAAAGTTTAATAAGCCGTAAAATGCTCGTAACAACGAAATAATCAACGAAATAGAGAAAAAGAAACTTTTTTTTCCTCATATTTTAAAGAAATATAAAAAGTTTTAACTTTCCCTTAATAAGTTGAGAATTTAAAAAAAAAATGTAAGAACTTTTCTTTAACTTTACATATATAAAAATTGAAGAAACGCGAGTAAAACATTTTTTTTTTTTTTTAAAGAAAAATATTCAAAAATATGGCTTTTTAAAAATGTTAAATTATCAAAACTACATTGAACTTGTAAACTTTTTTAATAAAACGAAACTTACAGAGTTCTCATATAAAACTAAGAACTTTTGACTATTTTATCCTTGATCCCTCGATAGCAATTCTTTTATATTTAATATTTCCTCTCAAAATTTAATATTACCTCAAAAATAAGTAATAAAAAATTAATTAAAAAAAAAAATAATATAAAATAAAAATATTTTATAAAACAAACTCAATAAATAATTCTTATTTATCTAAAATTAATTATTTAAAATAAAACATAATTCCAACAATTTAAATAATATACTTATTGAAAGATTCTTTCATTGAATCGAAATTTTTTTGAAAATCTTTAAAATTGTTAAATTAATAATGTTTAATGAAAATTTTATTCCTTAACTTTTTGAAAATCCAATTTTAAATATGCAAAATTCAAAATAAAAATAAGACACAAAATAATGAAAAAAAAATTTCAAATTATTAAAAAAATATTCCTTACTAATATATTATTTAAATAAATTAAATTTCCGACAGGAAATATAAAATAAAAAAGCATGTTTAGATCCTGTATAGTTCAAAAATAATTTTTTGAAAAAAAAACAAAAAAAAGTACTCGAGCAAAAATTAATATTCATTTTTGACCATATATTTAATTAGAATTTCAATATTTGATATAAAAAAAAAAGTTTTCAATTTTCACTCTTATCTATTATAAGGGCTGGCCACACACTTTTTTGTAAAATTATTACACATTACTGTATATAAAAATATAGAGAGAAAAAAATTCTAGGTAAAAAATTGCACTGAAACTTTCAATTTTCAAATCATATTTCTGAATGCAACTCTAATCTTTCTCTATAACAAAAATAGAACTCTCTGTTTTATAGAAGAGAAAAAAAAATATGAATAGAGAAAGTAAAAGAAGGGCAAAAGATTTTTTTAAAAGAAAATAAAAATTCTACTTCAAGCACTCTATCTCTATATATATT